GTCCTCACCAACATTTGGCTCTCACAACTTTTCCACCTGCTCTTCTCTGAGCCTTACAGGGAGGGGTGTGTATAGATGTCCCATTTAGTGCTAAGCATTCCACTTATTCTATGTACATTGACCAATTGAGTCATGACACCCTCATGAGAGTCAAGAGCTACATTCCTCTATGGATAAAAATATTAAGTATTTAAAAGGCAGTTTGATGCTGTATCCATTTAGTAAAACAATAGTATTATGTTCTTCTCTGGGGCCCTCAGCCTTGGGTTCTTGGTCCAGTTTGTAGTAACAGGCTTGAGTTCTGTCTCATAGAGCAGGCTTTAAATCCCAATCAGAAAGTGGTTGGTTACCACCACCCCCCATAACAATCATGTCATTACTGCTAGTTGAGGAGTCATCTGCAGCCTTACCAAACTGTGAACCCTGCGAGCTACTGGAACAACAGTTTAGCAAGATATCCACAGGATGCATTCCTAATGTACAGCAGCAGAAATAATAGCAGCCTGCCTGACTGACAGTTCTGTGGTTTCATCTTCAGCTTGTGGTTAAGGTGCATATGGACGATAATAGTACCAAGTCACTGATGGTGGATGAGCGACAGTTGGCTCGGGATGTTCTGGACAATCTTTTTGAAAAAACCCATTGTGACTGCAATGTGGACTGGTGTCTTTATGAAATATATCCCGAATTGCAAATTGGTAAGTCTCTTTATCACATGTGGGTTGTAATTCAAAAGCCTGGCTTTTTGTTTTATTGTGGGCTTTAGTCTGTTTCATACATTTGTTCCAAGATCTCAAGACATGACACATGTCACTGCCCTCATCTGAGATGAATGTTTGTTTCATTGTTTCCTTGTGGCAGACACTCAGTTGGTAGAGGGTAGCTAGTCTTTGGGAGATATGAACTTTATTACTGTCAACCTGCTAGTGACTCTAAAGGGGGAAGAAAGGGGCAATATGGTTCATCCTGCTACATGCTTAAGACACTCAACAGATTTCAGGAGATCGGGGTATCTGTCAGCTAATATCCCTTTAAAGATTGCTTCCTCAAGGCATAATGTGACTGCCAGATCTTACATCTACTCTCATTTCCCCCTTCCTTCAAATTTGACTGATTGCTAACACTTTGCTAGTGGAAGAGGCTCAGCCTCAGGGGTCAAAGGGCAGTGAAATAAATTGATAGTCTCTCTCTCTCTCACATGCATACCTGTGCAGGCGCACATTCTCTCCAGCAGTTTAATAAATAATCTGTTCCTTCCCATTCAGCCATTCAACCTCAGGGTACACTGCCTCCCAAGATGGCTATATGAAACCCAGAATTACCTGCTTTTGAAACTTTAGGGCATTTTTTTCTGTAGAAAATGTCGGCATTAAAACAGTCCCTTAACCAGGCATGGTGGCACATCCTTGTAATCCCACCCTTGGAGAGGCTGAGGCAGGAGGAGGATGAGTCCCAGGCCAGTCTAGACTGCATAGGGAGAACTTATCTCAAAACTGACACAAAACAGTGCAGAAGTCTTGAAGTATTCTTCAATTCCATGAATCAGGAAGACAAGGGAAGGAAAAGCTTCCATAACTTTCAAGCTTGGTTCAGGTATTCATCTATTATCTTGAGAATGACTTATGAGTTTCACAGTTTCATTCAAAATGTTTAAGCAGCAGTTGCTCTTTAGTCACTCCTATAATGACTATATTTACCACCGGTAAGAATGATGTAAAATGAAAAGCAAAATTCTAACACTAAAAAGCATGACAGCTATTGCCCAAAGTATTGTGATTTCTGCCATTTATGTTTCTATGTAAAACAAATCTAGCCAGTCGTTGGTGGCGCATGCCCTTAATCCCAGCACTCAGGAGACAGAGGCAGCCAGATCTCTGTGAGTTAGCCTGGTCTACAAGAGCAAGTTCCAGGACAGCCTCCAAAGCCACGGAGAAACCCTGTCTCAAAAAAAAAAAAAAATCCAAAACCTGACAATGACATATAAAAATAGCAGAAACATTGCACTATTGTGGCAGGCAGGTATGTTAGTTCACAGGGCAGGCACTGAACCTCTCTGGTTCTCCTGCCTCTTTAACAGAGGACTGCACAGAGACAATGGCAAGTTCAGGAAAGGAAATAGTTTATTAGGGACAAGATACACAGGGGCCTGGAGGTGTACCATGCAAGAAGGGAGAGAAGGAGCTAAGCGGGGGTGCCCAGTGACCTTTTAGGGGTCATTAACATAGTACCTGCCTCCACCAAGTTTTTCAGAGCAAGTGCCCTTGGCTGAACATATCCAGACCCTGCTAAGTAAGAGCTGCCAGTCCTTACAACCCTTGTGAATCATTGTATTTAACTCAATAATAGACTCTCATCTGAATTATCTTTCATTTCATCAGAGAGAATTTTTGAAGACCATGAAAATGTTGTTGAAGTTTTATCACACTGGACAAGAGACACAGAAAACAAAGTACTGTTTTTGGAGAAAGAGGAAAAATATGCTGTGTTTAAAAATCCTCAGGTAAGATAACCCATACTTCCTTAAACTATATAGCACATGAAGTTTTTTGTCACCTGTGTACTGGCCAAACCATAATCTTGGGAAATCTCACAAATGTGTTCCTTTCAAATAAACACAAACTTACAAATTCAGAGTCCTTTGAAAGACTTAGAAAAAAATTCTATTATTTTTCTTTTTTTCATTAAAAATCCAAAACATATCTATTTGTCATTGTCTAATGCTGCTGGGTTTGAGTTTCTAATAGGATCCATTAGTCCAATGTGTCTTGATGAAATATAGATTATTAACTTTTCTATTGCAAAGTTATACATTTTGTAGTTTATATTTGTTGCTTATTGATGCTGTAATAACTAAAGGGAGTGTTATGGAAGGTCTGAGACCCATAACCTACCACCATATTAAAAAAAAATGATGAAGAGAGAAATATTTATTTACAGTTTGGGCCAGAGCTTTTGAAAGAAAAATACTTGGTTTCTTTTTACATTTTCTATGGCAGAGTTACACTTCATAGAAAAGATAAAATAAAGTCCAGGAACTATAAACATGTAAATTTAATCAGAATGCTATGCACTCTGTTCTTGGAGACACTTCCCCACTCTGCTGATGCTGTGGCTACAGCCCATTCCTTCTCTCAGCATAGACATCACTGGGGAGTGTTCATAAACCACTCTCAAACATCCTGTCTTTCACAGGGTCCCTGCCACACTATTACAGAGCACTCGGAGAATATAAAATATATTGTGATGTCCTTAAGCAATTGACACAAACACAAAAGCATTGTTCACATATATGAAAGAGCATTCCTCAAGTCATAGATCAGGGTGCAACCAAAAAGGCTAAGGCTTTCTGGGTGTGGCCTCAAGCAACTTGAATCACATGAGAACCAGAATGTCAGTCTGTACTGCATGTCAGCACAGTCAACGGAGGCTGGGATACCCCAAAAGGTCTGCCTTCCCCACCCCATGTAGTATACTCTATAGGGCGCCCTAAAAATGCAGTTCATCATTTCAAAGTGAAGCCTTGTCCTTCTAGTTGGGAGCCACCCTTGTCTCTGATGTGAGATATCAGGATTCTCTTCTCTCCTCTCTACTTCCTTCCTTTGCTATGGTTCTCTGTGGAGCAGAACTCATACAAGACTACTTAGTCTGATATTACTCCCAGGCGTCACAAACCAAAGGCTAACTCAGCAGCATATACACACTGAGTTCTTGTTTAACATCAGGTACCAGTGTGTCTCTATATAAAGGGCCCTTATCTTTCCCTCCAGTCCCAATCATATTTTTTAAGGAAATTCTAAGACTGTTAATGATGGAAGTGATCTCCAAGGTCATCCAGACATCTTTCCATTTCATGAAAGGAAACTGAATCTCGAATCACTAGGGGCAGAATTTGGAGAGTCTGAGAGGCAGGCTACCTATGGGAAAATGTTCTTTCCCCGTGTGTTGGTTTTATCATTGTGGTAGCCAAATACTTGACAGGAATAACTTAAGAGAGAAAGGGCTTATTTGGCTTACAGTTGCAGAGGTCTACACCCATTGTGGTAAGGAGGATATGGGTTGGGGGGGGGAGGCTTCATGTCATGGCAGACAGGAAGCAGAATAAGGTAGTAACAGAAAAAGGCTAATGAAAGCTAGAACCCCAAAGACATAGCCTTAGTGACCTACTTCCTTCAAGCAGCGCGAGCGCACATATGCGCACAAGCACACAAACACACACACACACACACACACACACACACACAGAGAGAGAGAGAGAGAGAGAGAGAGAGAGAGAGAGAGAGAGAGAGAATTCTACCACTTCACAGTATTCTATTCAGACTGAATCTGTCGTAGGATTAATCCATTCATTAGGTCAGGGTCCTCATGGCCTATGTGACTCTAGAAATGCCCTCACAGACAGGATCAGAGAGTGTTTTAGTAATATCCTAAATGAGCCGGGCGTTGGTGGCACACTCTTTAATCCCAGCACTCGGGAGGCAGAGGCAGGCAGATCTCTGTGAGTTAGAGGCCAGCCTGGTCTCCAGAGTGACTGCCAGGATAGGCTTCATAGCTATACAGAGAAACCCTGTCTCGAAAAACAAAAAATATATATATATATATCCTAAATGTCTCTCAATCTAGTCAAGTTGACAAGATCACATAACTAACCTGTGCTGTTGTGTTGTTGGCAGGCATGCAGTTTGTTTCTAGCTTGGTATCTAAGTAGTAATTAAATAGTAATGCTCGTATATGTTTTTAGGTGAACATAGACAGACATTTCTCTTGCACATATACCTATGAATAAAATTACTGGGACATAGATTATGTTTCTATTTAGCTATGGCAAATGCTGAAGAGGGATTTTCTGGATAATTTTTAGGTTTGCTTTCTCTTTATCATTGTATGAGACTTCCTATTGTTCTAGATTCTCAGCAACCATTGGTATTGCTTTTTCCGGTTAGTTTGAACAGCTTAATAATAAAGTCACCAATAAGGTGAAGTCGATGATGTAATTATATAACGAGGCCCAAGATAAATGATAAATAGATGTTTATTGGGGACAAATACACAGAAAAATACAAAGAACCACCAGAGCATTTCCCTGCTCTTCCTACCAGATCCACTGACCCACCAGAAAAGAGTACACAACGGAAAGCTGCCTTAAGCTTCTCTCTTTCTGCTTCTGTCCACCTGAAGCCACACCCAAAGGGGTGTGGCCACTATTTCAGGTCCACAGACCAGATGCCTCAATAAAGCATTGGTTTCACATTAACGAAAGAAATAAAAAGCATTTCCTTTCAGTGTCATTTAATCAAAAGTGAGTCTAAATCTGAATTCTGTACTTCATAGCCCCTCTGTCTTTTGTCTTCTGTCTGTGGTATGGGTCTGAATCTGTGTTTGCCTCAAGGCTATCTTGTATCTCTGTCCTTGTGTTTGTATTTGTGTCTGTCCCCAGTGTCTGTCTCTGTCTGTTTCTGTCCCTATCAAACGGATTTGCTCCATCTTTATTGAACAGTACAGAAGGCATCACATGGGGAAGGAATGAGGGGCACTTTGCAGAGTTTTTAGAAGGGTTTAAGTAACTTACTCCAATTAATGCAGATAACAATCAGTATCACAAACATCATTGTTTAAAATCCATATCAAATGTTGCATGTTGTGTTCAATATCTATGGTGGATATTCATTTTATAAGATTGTTTTCAACCTCTATTTTTGCTGTTTTCAGCACCTAATACACATGCATTATTCTAGGAGGCCAGAACATGGAAGACAGTGTGCAACTTAAGACTGAAGCTATGCATTACCTTATGTTGTAAAAATTATTCACAGCCAGGAAGCAGAGAAAGATGAATACTGGCACTCCGCCCACTTTCTTTCTTTCTGAATCTAGTTTTAACAAGAAAGATTAATCATATTATACAGGTGATATGAAAACAGAAGGGAGACTATTTGTGAGGTAGAAAGAGACCGGCAAGAGGAAGACAGGGGCAGTGGAGCAGGGCAGAGGGAAGGGTATGAATAATAACAAAGTATAGTTTCTTACATGAATGAAAGTGTCATAATGCATATGACAGGTAGGATTTTAGTTGGGGGGTGGTAGAGGAGGAAGGGAGGGAGAAGGGAACTGGGATCGTCATGTAATTCAATCTTGTTTGTAATTCAAATATATAAAAAATAATAATAAAAAAAAGACAGGCATGAGAAAAAAAGGAAAGTGTCATAATGAAGCCTGTTACTTCATATGTGTACTTAAAATTTTAATTAAAGGAGAAAATAATGAAGGAGAGAAGAGAGGGGTGGAAATGACAGGGAAGGGGGAGGGGAGGGGGAGGGAAAAAGGTAAACAAGATACCCAGTGGGTAGAGACACCTGTACTCAGGCCTGTCAACCTGATTTGATCCCTGGTTCCCACAAGGTGGGGGGAGGGGCACGACACTGATTCCTGACTGCTGTCCTCTAAATTCCATACACCTGTGCAACCTACACACTCTCTCTCTCTCTCTCTCTCTCTCATACACACACACACACACACACAACCTTTAAAAAAGAAAATAGTGCCTATGTCCCAGAGGCATTAAAACACACGTAAAGGGAAGTTTTGAGCTCAATTCCGAGAAACAACAGCAGAAGGATTTTCCAGCACTTTTTCGTAGAGGGCCTACTCAGGCATAAGTCAAAGGCATTCACCAATGGCCAGAAAAGAGACTGCGTAGCTGGCTTCAGGTGTCTGGTGCCGACTATTACTTCAGTGTGTCCTCTGACAGCACTTGCATTCTACTTCTCAGTTTGTAATAATGCCACAGCTGCTCTTTCTGCCCTAAAGAAGCCACTGCAGCGTGAAATCCATTCGATTCACTGTTAAAATGATGTATGGGAGGAAGGTGGTTTGATCTCACCCAAATGCAGTACTCATTTCCGATAAAGTTAGCCACGATCAGTTACAAGCTTGTGGAGAGAAACCAGGGTCTGCACATTTGCAGGACAGAAGATGCTTAACTGTGGATCGGGGAGAATTCTGTTGAGTGGGAATGGATAGCAGGTCACCCCCGTGTGAGAATGGAGAAAAATGGGGTGTGTGCTGATAGCCCTGCTGAGCGTCATTGTTGCACCCTCTTCCATTTAAGAGCACTTCAGATCTCCTCAGAAGCGATTGTTTTAGCCTCATTCCTGGAGGAATCGGCAGTGGGTGAGCTAGCCATGTACAGTGCTTGGGTACAATGCTACTGAGTGTTATAAGACCACACAAGCACCTTGGTTGCAGACCTCCCTTGGGTTTCTATCTCTGTCATCTCTGTCCTTACCATAGCTATGATGTTCCTTTCCATCTCAGTAGACTTCCTTGTTATGATAAAACACGAGAGGGACCTTGCTGGGGGGGGGGGGGACCTTGGTGGATTCCATGGCAGACAAGAGTGACCGAGGAGGAGGGGCAAGTATGCCAGGCAGACAGAGCTTAAGTGAGAAATTTTATTAGAAAGGGGAAGGAGGAGGGAGGAAAGAGAAAAGAGGTCAAGAGGCA